AGTTAATGCTTGTGGACAAGTAGAGTAAATTATAAGGTTATGAAAAAATTATGTTTACTTAATGCCTAGATTTACGCAATTTATACAGAGAAATCTATGACTTTATGTATATGCATAAATTGTACGTTAAGACAGCTTTTGGAAATATGTAATTACAAATGTTCCTTCATAATAAAATGAAAATATTTCCGATGTAGATGTCTGCTGAAGAATATGACACAGAGATGGATTACTCTGACTCAGATTGTGGGGATCCAGGTTATGAAGACTATTATAATGTTCAACCATGGGATGGCGAAGGTGATAATGATGTTGAAAATGACCAGAGCCGGAGAGATCCAGAATATGCTGTATATGATTGCTTGAGAATAGAAGAAGTCGAAAGATTACTGAATGAGGACGTAGAGACATTAAGTAATAGTCTCCATATAACGCCATCCTTGGCCAAAGTTTTATTACATGCACACAATTGGGCATTACAAGATATCATTACAAAATATCGTGCCAATGCTTCCAGTTTATTAATCAATTCAAAGATAAGACCATCTTCATTGGATTCACATTCAGGAACAAAGAGTAAAAAGGGTGGAGTGTGTTCAGTTTGTGTTACAATTTCTCCAGCTAAGAAATTTTCTACCTTAACGTGCGGACATTTGTTTTGTAATGACTGTTGGTGCATGCACTTTAAAGTACAAATAACTCAAGGTATTTCCACGGGTAGGTTTCTTAAAAAAGAAAAGATTATACTATATTATATGTTTTGAGAATTAAGCTTAGTCAAATTAATTTCAATTAGGGATAAGCTGCATGGCACAGGATTGTAATGTCTTAGCTCCAGAGGATTTTGTTTTGTCTCTGCTCACAAAACCCAACATGAGGGAGAGGTACCAACAGTTTGCTTTTTGTGATTATGTGAAATCCCATCCACAATTAAGGTTTTGCCCTGGACCCAATTGTCAAATGATTATACGCTCAAAAGAGCAGAGAGCAAAAAGAGTAATGTGTTCGTCGTGTAAAACTGTGTTTTGGTATGCATTCAGTTTTCAAGAGTATTGAGAATATTTCAAGAAAACATTATCGTCTGTTAACTAAAAGCTGCAATATTTTCAGCTTCCGATGTGGCATTGATTACCATGCACCCACTGACTGTAACACTATGAAAAAGTGGCTAACAAAGTGTGCAGATGATTCAGAGACAGCTAATTACATTAGTGCCCACACCAAAGATGTTAGTGTTTATATTTTCCGTACTATTATGATACAATTTATTCGTTACAAATGTATTTTAATTTTCAGTGCCCGATATGTCACATTTGCATAGAAAAAAATGGTGGTTGCAATCATATGCAATGTTATAATTGTAAATATGATTTCTGTTGGATATGTCTTGGAGATTGGAAAGCGCATGGAAGCGAATATTATGTGTGTTCACGATATAAAGGAAACCCTAACATCGCTCACGAGAGCGTTCTTGAACAAGCCAGAGAAGCGCTTAAAAAATATCTTCATTATTATGAGAGAGTAAGTTGACTTTTTATGGTTCAATCTCTCTGTACGGTATAAAGTTTAGTGCAGACGTCATCGATGTTTTTAATTATTTTCACAGTGGGAGAACCATAGTAAATCATTAAAACTGGAAGAACAGACATTGGACGCTATCAAAATGCAAATAAATAAAAAAGTGATGAACTCCAGCGGAACATGGATCGATTGGCAACATTTATTTGCAGCAGCATCGCTTTTAACACGTTGCCGTTATACTTTGCAATACACGTATCCTTATGCATATTATATGGAACCTGGGCCACGTAAAGAATTGGTAAGAATTCATTTTAAACTGTTATCGCTATACCTCGTATAACTGTTTTAATTATACGACGACTTTGTGAAGTTTGAATATCAACAAGCACAATTGGAGGCGGAAATAGAAGATCTTTCATGGAAGATAGAACATGCAGAAACAACAAATCGCGGAGATTTAGAAAATCAAATGGACATTGCTGAAAAACGTCGCGTTACATTATTAAAGGACTTCCTCGAAGTATAAATACTGTAAATTATTCTGCTATGTCACTGCAGTCTCTTTTACAATTATGCTAACTTGTGAGACAGCTATAGTTTAGTTTTTCAGATGAATACATATATATTCCCATAGGTATTACGTTCCATATTATACGTATTAATTAATCGTTCACCGTTCATTGAAACTTCAGGACTGAGCCTGAGATTGTTTTAGAGAGTAGGAAAATGAAAATTATGAGAATCTATTTAAAAACAGATAACTTTAGATTTAAATGTTCTCCTTTGGTTAAACGATGTTTAAATTATCGTTCCTTAATTGACAGTTCTCTTTAATCACAGTAATATTTATCAGAAAAGATTGGAATTCTATAAATCCGATCTTTTAAACATGTGTATATTTGTTATTTATGTAATCATACATAAACCGTAAATTCTATGGATATTTTATTTACATTGAGAACATGCCAATGAGAAAGAACATTTGGGAAAGTATTGACTTATATCGACTGATTGTTAAAATTTGATATGTCCTGTATAATAATTTCCTAGATTAAGAGTATTTCCACGAGTAGTGTAATTTTTTTGAAATTTGTATTTGGAAAACTATTTTTATCAGAGCGCTTATCACATTTTATAAAACGGAATGACTAGGATTATTGATGTTAATCCTAATTATATTTATTTTACATCGAACGAGCATGAAAAATAATTTTGTTTGCCTCATTTGACAAACTCTTTGTTTTCCTCTTAAAATATTGTTATTCTTATTAAGACACATTATTTTAATCTCGAGGATCAATTGTAAAAGAAAAAGGAGAGCAGATAGCCTAATAAATTAATTAGGTACTAATCAACTGGTACCTTCGTCTTGTAAATATTGTGGTATTTTAGAAGAATGTAACATTTTCTATAATTAGAGTTAAGATGCATGCAACGATCAAACACATCCGCTAATAAATATAGTCGCAATCGAAACTTTTTTTCAACTATTTATATACGATACATTAGAATAGGACTTTTTTGGAATGAACAATATATCGTTTAATAACTCCCGTCTAATAAAACTTAACGGCCCTCGGAAAAAAAAAATGCAACAATCGCTATGTTACTAACGGAAAATGATGGTTATTGTAACAACCGTATCTTTTTAAGAGTGAAAATATATAAGATCAGCTATTACAATTGAGGAAAACCGTGTAATAAAATTATATCGAGAAAAAGTAATTACGAATAATGTTAAAAGACTCACCGGCTTCATCTTCAATGTCGAAAGTATTTCTTTTCTGATACCATAAATATCTCTGAGCCAAGAGTTTCTTAGATATGTATATCTTTTAATCTTCGATGTTGATCATTCATGTATCACTTTGTCTTTATTAAGAAGTTATTATACAATTAAATTATCGCGGTATTACCCAGAAATTAGTGATTTTAACGGACAGACCGTAAATAAAAACGATGATAAAATTTTACTTTTCAAAACTTGATTATTTAAATTAACAACATGGCATGTGAAATTTTTCTGATCGTCATATCGCGTAATCCTCATACATATAACAATGTAAGGAAAATGTATACATTAAAGACACATCAATCATATAACATGTTATGTTATTAAAATTTAATTCAACGAATTTTAAATTTGAATCGTTTATAATAGTTATATTTGATCGAAAATATCTTGTTTGAAAATATCTATATCGGGATATTATATACTACTCGTTTTAAGGAAGACCAATTTAAAAATATACTGAGTTACTTCTGATATATGATTACAAAAAAGCAAGTAAATTTATTATCATTGCTATAATAACTCAGATTCTAATTTTGCGTTTATCATCAAATTCGTGCTTTCGCTGTTCAGGAAAAGTTGACCGTTTTCGATCTTCTCGCCTTAACTTTCATCTTCATGTCTGTTTATTTACCCAAGTGGTAGGACACTTTTTTTTTAATTGTAAATATATAAATAATGAAGTAAATACGCATCGTAACTTCTTATCAGACGATAGTTCTGGCGCGAGATCGTCGTATGTTCGATTTTTTAAATTTCAAAATGGCGCGTTCGATTGATTGTTACGGTTAGCAGGTAGATAGTCTGAATCGCAATGCGTGCAGGCGTGCAATCATATATATCGTGCGAAAATATCGGAGTATCGACGGATTAGCGAAAAGAGCGCTACTTCCCTCCGATAGCCAGTAGAGAGAATCGCCCCACACATCGGTGACAGTGTCGACGATCGACAAAGAGAAGGAAAACATTGTTAGAACAGGGTGATATCCTACTGGCTCCGTATGACAGACGGGGCTGTCATATTCTATCAAAGCGTACCTTTATCCCCGAAACCTTCCAAAACATTAGAGCAACAATGGCGATGGGCAAAGGGTTTCGCGTCTACGAAAAGTTAAAGCCGCCTAAACCGCATTCACTTATATTAGAACAACGAAATAAGAAGGAGACTGTTTTATTCGAATCGCAAGCCGTTGCTGTTCTCTGTAAGTATTTCATCATAATTGATAACAATAACAATATCTATTCAAAGGTTTCTGATTCTTAATCTCTCTTCTCGCCCGTTCATCATTTAAAATTTTCGCTCAAAAAATATACTTACTGAACGAAGTTTTCAATTTTTTAACTGATTTTACTTCATTTGATAGTTCTATTTGAAAGGTGTTAAGGAAATTTGAATATCATTTTGCAGCTGCCGAAGAAACCGAAACATTGAAAGGAAAATATACAAAATCGTTAGATGCATATGGATGTTTAGGTGTTTTGCAACTAAACGCTGGTGAAAATAATACTTTATTGTACCTTGTCCTGGTCACCGGCTGTTTTTCAGTCGGCAAAATAGGAGAGTCAGAAGTGTTTAGAATTACTCAGTCACATTTTGTTCCACTTTATTATACTCAGGGAAATGAGGATCGTGTGTCTGAAGTTAGGAAGGTTCTTAACTCTGGTACTTTTTATTTCTCTTGGTCTGCTGGTAGTCAAGAGTCTCTTGATATTACTCTCAGTGCACAGAAGCGATGCAAAGCCACAGCAACTGATAACAGATTTTTCTGGTTAGCGATATATGTATCCCATGATTTTGACCATAGAATAGAAACTATTTAACTTAGGTGTATCTTTCTTTATGCAACAGGAATCGCATGTTACACATACATTTATTGAGGTATGGTGTGGACACATCTCAGTGGTTACTTAAAGCAATGTGTGGCAGTGTGGAAATCAGAACTGTATATGTTGGGCACAGACAAGCTCGTGCTGTTCTCATTTCCAGATTAAGTTGTGAACGCGCAGGCACAAGGTATTTACTGTTTTTAACAATCTAGTATACATTGTTGTTCTGCTTATCATTGCATTGTAACATTGAAACAGTAATTTAGATATATGTATCATATTTTATCAGACCACTTTATAAGAGTAACATGATCCTATAATGATAATTTAAATTGCATTTACTGTTCGAGATAACACATGAATCTATATTTATTGTTTAGGTTTAATGTCAGAGGAACTAATGACGATGGACATGTAGCAAATTTTGTAGAAACAGAGCAAGTGATATATTTAGATCATGAAATAACTTCCTATGTACAAACTAGAGGCTCTGTTCCATTATTCTGGGAACAACCTGGTATTCAAGTTGGTTCTCACAAAGTAAAGATATCTCGTGGCTTTGAGGCTTCCGCACCAGCATTTGATAGGCATTTAAAGATGATAAAAGAAAGATACGGAGAACAAGTAATTGTGAATTTGCTTGGCTCTAGTCTGATCAGTGGCAAAGAAGGAGAAGCGATGTTGAGTCAGTTATTCCAGACTCATCACAATATGTCAGAGCATAAAGATGTGCCTCACATCTTATTCGATTATCATCAAGAATGTAGAGGTGGAAATACCAGAAATCTATCAAAATTAAAAGCTAAAGTAGAAAAATACTTGAAATCATTTTCATTGTTTTATGCTGTCGGCGAAAGCGTTATTCTCGAACAAATTGGCACTATTAGAACAAACTGTCTAGACTGTTTGGACAGAACGAATTGTGTGCAAACATTTTTTGCGCTAGAAACCCTTGGCAAACAGCTTGGATTATTGAAATTACTTGAGAAACAACAAATGGTTTCAAGATTCGAAGAAGTGTTTAGACAGATGTGGGTCAACAATGGTAACGAAGTAAGTAAGATATATGCCGGTACTGGAGCGATTCAGGGAAGCTCGAAATTAATGGATGGTGCGAGATCCGCAGCTAGAACAATACAGAATAACCTATTGGACTCTAGTAAACAAGAAGCTATTGACATCCTGCTATTGGGATCAACATTAAATACAGAATTAGCCGACAGGGCTCGACTGCTTTTACCTTCGAATATGTTACACGCACCACCGAGCGTCCTTAGAGAAATGTGCAAACGGTACAATGAGTATGTAACTACAATGAATCTTAGAGTGAGCGTGGGTACTTACAACGTTAACGGAGGGAAACATTTCCGAAGTGTCGTATACAAAGATGTATCTCTTGCTGACTGGTTGCTGGATGCTCATCAGAGCTCACGATGTAAGTTCTATTTAAATCTACTTTCGTAACGATGGAATAATACCTTACAGATTGAAATTGTATTTTTGTTTTCCAGCTCTTGTATCAGTCGAATACGACAATGTTCCTGTAGATATATTTGCAATAGGATTCGAAGAGATCGTTGATCTAAATGCAAGTAATATAATGGCTGCTAGTACTGATAACGCGAAATCTTGGGCAGAGGAACTGCAGAAAGTACTTTCACGTGATACCGAATATGTTCTGGTCACATATCAACAGTTAGTCGGCGTTTGCCTCTATCTATTCATAAGACCGATACACGCTCCTTATTTAAGAGATGTAGCTGTAGATTGCGTTAAAACTGGATTAGGCGGTGCAACTGGGAACAAAGGAGCTGCAGCTATCAGATGTGTATTGTACTCCACTTCCTTCTGTTTTGTTTGCGCCCACTTTGCTGCTGGGCAAAATCAAGTTAATGAGCGTAATGCTGATTACGCGGAGATCACGCGAAAAATTGCCTTCCCTATGGGAAGAACATTAAATACTCATGATTATGTATTTTGGTGTGGTGATTTCAATTATCGTGTCGATATGGATAAAGATGAAATGAAAGAAATGATCAAAAGAGATGAATTCGATCAAATATTGCAGTACGATCAATTAAAGGTAGATATGATATAGATATTTTCAGTTTCAAGTAGACTACGTAAAAATATATTTAACATTTTTTTGTTTCCTTTCATTTGTCTTAGGTGCAACAAGAGCAAGGAAACGTCTTTAAAAATTTTTTGGAGGGACACATTACCTTTCCTCCCACGTATAAGTACGATGTTTTCTCTGATGATTACGATACGAGCGAGAAGTGTCGACAACCCGCATGGACAGACAGAGTGCTGTGGAAACGTCGTAAACAAGTACCTGATATCGGTCAGTCTCAATTTCTCATGAATTATTCCGTTTTATCAAAACAGTTAATCATTACAGATTCTCCTGCAGATTGGAATCCAGGAAGATTGGTTCATTACGGTAGAGTCGAATTGAAACAAAGTGATCATCGACCGGTGATCGCCATTATTGATATAGATATTCATTGCGTCGAACCCGAGAAACGTGAAGAAGTTTTCAAGGAAGTGATACAAGATTTGGGTCCACCCGATGGCACTATAGTGGTGAAAGCTGAAGAAGAGTCGGACGACGTGGACAGCGTATTCGACGACAACTTCATGATGGCGCTCTTACAAGACTTGTCGCATATTGGCGAAGTGATTCTCGTTAGGTTCGTCGGCGAGACGATATGGGTGACGTTCAGAGACGGACAATGCGCTTTATCTGCAGCAAAGAAAGGCATGACTCAAGTATGCGGCCAAACTTTGAAATTATCCCTTAAGTCGCCGGACTGGGTACAATTAATCGAAAAGGAAATAGATCTCTGCAGCAACACCACGATCCCGCAATTCGTCTCAGATTCTCCGAAGAAGAGCCCTGTTGAAAGATTAGAACAATTAGAAATAGGAGAACGGCCATCTCCGAGTAAGGGTAGTCCGAACGGGGTTCCTCCTCCAAGACCTGCTCCACCAGGTCGACCGGCTCCACCTAAGAGTCCAGTGCAAGATCGAAAGCAAGGACCTCGCGCTGGTGTATTCAGCGTATTGCCTAATCAATTCCAAGCACCACCATCCAGAGAAAATGAAGAAACTGAACAAAGTGAAAGATTGTCGCCAGAATCTGCGATTTATGAAGAAATATTGGATGGATCATCTAGTTACCCTATACCAAACCGTCCACCGCCACCATTACCTCGCACGGATTCCATACAGGAATCGTCCAGTATGCCTCCTAGTTCTATACCTCCTCCATTACCGCAGAGGCAAGCTCCTCCTCCGCCTCAGCATCCGCCACCTAGTTTACCTGCGACTGCAAATGCCCCACCACCGATCCCGGCAAGGACAACCGGCGGACCACCCATTCCAGCTAGAAATCCTCATTAAACGGCGGTGTTAATGTCATTCCGATGTGAGTCGAATCATTTTAGGTATCATTATGTAGTTAATTATTTATAAATATTGATAGAAATTGAAAACAGAATAGCTTGCTTCCTCGTGACGTCGTACAACTGTGTAGTTTGTGAACAAAAATGAATCCCAAGTCTATTCTGTAATTAGATTCAGTTTCTGGGCACCATGAATGACGAGGATGTTATATGCTTCCTATCCTGCACTTTCCTACAATGCAAACAAGTTTGTTGAATACCTCAAAAGTTTGATTATTACAAATAGACTATGTGCAGAGTTTATGAGCGTATACAGTTAAAAGGCTTCTTAAGAATGATCGTTGAAAATTAATAAGATAATTCTGTTAACAAAATCTATGATGTTAAAGATGTTATATAAATATAATTTTGTGAAAAATTTTGCGACTAAATATTTAAATTAAAATTAATCTATATCTACCATCATAGTTTTGTCCTACAACTCCTAATAAAAAAAGTTGTTTTCATGATAGATTGATTTATTTACAATCGAGATTAAAAATTGTTGACTATGTTTGTTTCTTGTTACATTTAATCATATTTTTCTAAAAAAGACAGATAATTAACGAAGAAAAAATCGTGTTTTATGTTTATTACTGGCTGTAACAGTGAGAAAAGTGATAAACACAAATGACAGTATTCTTACGAAAAATACTTTCCACATGAGTATATATTTACGTATAAAATATATACACTCGTTGACCAATCATTGTTCTTTTAAGGTAATAGTATAGATAATAGTTTATAATAGTACATGATAAATAGTAGCAAATCGTATAAAAGTATGGAGCCAGTGAACTTTCAATCCCAAACACTATTGGAGAGAACAGAGGCAGAATATTACTATGTGTATTTATTTTGTAGCGCTTCATGTGTTGTATTGTACATATACATATACATATAAAACTTAAAAAAAAACGAAAGATGAACCATACAGGTAAAATGAGATTCTATATATGTTTATACAACGAAGAAAACATGCTTATTTATTTTGCGAGATTCGAGATAATAAGTACTTGTGCGAGTGTTATTATTTCTAGAATTTTCCTCTTCTCTGAATGTGAAATTTGATGGAAAAGTTACATTTAAAAATGAAAACATACAAGAGTTTCAAATTGAGAGATTATTGAAAATATGAATATAAAATGAAGTCTCGTAATTAAGATAATCATGTATCTGGGAAAGATTGTAAATAGAGATGAATTTAGTAAGAAAAACGCCTTGCAATTGATGTACGTTCTCTAAATGTACCAAATACATATTTGATTCTTCATTTTGGAATTTGTTGATAAACTAACTTTATACTTCACAACACAAAGTACAGGATTTAAAAAAATATCACTTATTTAAAATCTTCTTTTATTTATATCAGCGATATAAGATGGTCGCCTAAATTTGTAACTAGGTCTAGTCATTGTCATTTGTTTGGCAAATAGAGCGAGAATGATAGCTCCCTAAACGTTATTCAGTAATAAGTATAAAGTTTTACAAAATTTGTTTCATCAAAAATTTAACTTGTATAAATATATATATTGTAAACAGAGAATTTGTGTTCGTCATTTATACATTTATAATAAGAGGAATGAATGGTTTCGCAAGCACTGATTGAATATGGTTCCACTCGGTATAAACATACTTTTTTTAGTCCATAAATTATATACAAAAAGATATCACTAAATTAATAGCTAACTAGTTTCTGATTAATATACTAAATACAGTTAGCAGAAACCAATTATTTGTTCGTTCATAAACAGTGTCTATTATAAAAAATTTGCGTTTCACATTCTCGGTTGTTTCAATTAAAAATTTGTACATGAAAGAGAGTATGTCTAAAAGTTGAAAATAATACACACTATTCCACGATACGACATTGTGAAAATTGATAGTACGTCAAAGAAGACATTGCATAATTGGTATACATATTAGTATACTTAATACAATTTTGTTCCTAACATTTCTTTTTTCAGTCTCACATGTACTCTTTGTGTGTTCACACAGATTTATACACCTTTGATGATCTACTCCGTAATTCGATAGAGCGTTTGAAAGTTTAACTCAGCAAACCACAGTTACTCAAATTGTTTTTGATTATAACATCAGTTACAGCATCAAATACAAATTGTATGTTGGATGTATCAGTGGCACATGTGAAATGCGTGTAAATCTGTTTCTGATCCTTTCTTTTGTTTAAATTTTCGAATTTCATTTGAATGTAAGACGCACACTCCTCGTACGTATTAGCGCCCTTGTATTCAGGGAAACAAATAGTTAACGGGCTCCTAGTGATCTTCTCTTCGAAAAGATCCTTCTTATTCAAAAATAAAATGATCGACGTCTCGACGAACCACTTACTATTACAAATGGAATCAAACAACTTCATCGACTCTATCATTCTGTTCATTTCTTCATCCTCCGCGAGAACCAGGTCGTAGCCGCTTAACGCGACGCAAAATATTATGGCGGTGACTCCTTCGAAACAGTGTATCCACTTTTTTCTTTCTGATCTTTGACCACCCACGTCGAACATTCTGACAAAGTAGACGAAATTTTTAGCAAATAATAGTAAAAAATTAAGTGAAAAACTTTCAAAAGGAACTTACTTGAAGTGTAAACTCTTAAATGAAAAATGTGTTTCTACTATTCCCGTCGTTTTCACACGTGTTCTGAGTACATCCTGCTGAGTCGGAATGTAATTAGGTTGCGCTATGCGATCTAAAGCATTAAGGTAGTACGCTGCCGAATCATTGAGCTGGTATTCCCTACTACGTGTGAAACAGAGCTGTACACCGGCGTCCTGCCATAATCGTTTCATTAATAATGCCAATTCCCCAGTTAGCTCACCCTCCTCTGCTGCTGAAGCTAGAGTAAAAAATTGGCGTGCTATATCCTATAAACACAATTAGATCTTGCTAGTATTCATAAAAAGGGCACTATGTCATGAGATATAGAACATTTTCATTAAGAAGCTAATATATTTACTGCTTTATTTGGATCTGCAAAGTCAATTCTAAGTTGTCCCATAGCTCTAATTATTGTCATAAGGCTCTGAACTGTGTTACTGCATACTACAGGCTTATATTGTTCGCATTCCTCTTTACTATAGCCAGTTTCGTGGATTATTTTCATCTGTTTCACTATAGTGGATTTCCCAGATTCTCCAGCTCCTTAAAATGCAAGCGTTTACATGTTTAGTAAATAAGATATACTATCTATTCAAGGAGATATAGTTAAGATATGTTCAATATCGCGCAGTGCTATTTAGTTTTCAATTCCTCACATAGTCGCAGGTGATTGAATAAGATCTAACACGTTATCTCGTGATTCACGCGCGTGATGATTCAAGTTTTCGGAAAATCGTCCGCGCTGTACTTACTTCCGCGGTTGCGCAAATCCGAGAATTGATTAAAAACGCGGCCGGTATGAGAAAATCGTTCAAAATAAAATTCGAACATCGAATATGGAAACAAATGACCAAGTAAACGAGGAAACGAAGATATTTCCACAATGTTCGAGTCCGTTCAGGGCGAAGGATCTACTTTTTTCCTAGGAACAGTCGAGACGTCACGCGTCGTGGAAATATCTTCCACAAGGAGCCGGATACATGAACAAAGAAGCGGACGGGCAACAACCGGACTCGGATTCTCTCGCCGGTTGGACGAAAATACGAAGAAGAAAGAAAAGGAGAAGAAATATTACCGAGCAGCAGGAGCTTGACCTCACTGGCGGCCCGCTCGCCATCGGCTCGGAGATCTTTGTCGATCTTTTTCGATCTCTCCGCAGCCTCTTTCTCGCCGGTGGTGCTCACCGCGCAGCCCATCCTCGCCGATACTTCCTTCTATCCGTCGTACAAAGGACGAGCACCATCCACGGCGTCCCTATCCTATCTTGAAACAGTCGGTTATTCTCCGTGCCGCCCCGCTATGACACTTGTTGCACGGACGTGTGGGAACCGCCCGCACGCGGTTCTGCCTCGTACACGCACTGATCAAACAACACAGTCTTGCACGTACGCGTACGTTCCCCTGTCGATGCACTTATTATCGTTCGATACGTACATATGCGCGATCGTATCCGTTTCTCATGAAACACTCGTTTGCCTCCCGTCAAAAAACGATGACAATGGACCAAAACTGCACGAGACTGCGATTGCCTGCGATACCGGCACGATCGCTTTCAGTCGCTTTGCACCTACATACGACCTACAATTCGTATGTGTGCGTCCCTGCGCTTCAATGCGCACTAGTGTGTAGAACACGGGGAAACGGGGTTGGTTGAAATTCCTCGATCGCGATCAACAACCAATCAATGCGGGGATCACGAATCCGGTACAACCAATGAGAAATGCCACGATGATTTGTACTCGTTCGAATTCTGGGCGCCATCTGATGCACGAAAGCCAGACTCGAAAATCGGTTCGTCCGTTCCGGAAATAAGATCGTCTTATAACTTGTTTCATTCGATGACTACATGGGGAGGGTGCATTGGGGTCTGAGGGCCCCGCAACCACATGAATGATGAAAATACATTTTTGCACACGAACATCGAGTATGCAAGCACATATGCATAATAATTCTTAATATATTTATCAATATAATCAAGTCAAACTGACTTTGATAGGATATTTATTTTATTGATTGTATTACATCATATATCGATAAGAGACACGAAAAGTATCTTATTACAAATAAAAATTAGAAAAAATGCTTGTCTAATCTGTATTAAATGATAATCAAGAAAGATCAAATATTGATGATGTAACATAATGTGTATAATTGATACCGTGAAATGAAAATAAAATGTGCAAGATACTCGTCCTCCCAAGATAAAAAATAAAAGAAATACAAAAAGTAAAGTAATTTAATTTCTTAATTAAAAATTCGAGTTATGTGATTTTTATGTAGCATCGATGATGCAGTATAACGACAATCTTCGTCTTTGTATGGAATTGTTTCATTAAATTCTACGCTTACTTTATTTTGCCCTTTCTTACTTTTATTAGAAAACTGCACATTAATAATAATGGAAATTAAATAAAGACAGGGCAGAGCAGAGAAAGATTAAGAGCGAACAAAGGATAGAAGAATCTACGCAAGGTGTACTGCTTTCTTAACTTTTAGTTTACAAAAAATATAAAATCTTACCTTTTGTATTTATTATACAAATAAAAATTATATCTAATTTGTCTTTTTCCTTGCGCGCACGTAGATTGGAATCACTGAAATACACATTTTCAGCTCATTCTATAAATTGCCAAATAATTCAACTTTCAATTCGTGCGATTTAAATCTAATAATACTTCTTATGTGTTTATATCCATTGTACTTACAATTGTGCTTATGAATGTATACATACATTTAGCCGCGATCCACGATCTCACGTCTTTGGCGATTGATTATAACAGATAACAAATCATTAAGAATCCGCGCGTGACTAATCGCTAACCGATCGATCGCTTTAGAGGATCATGAAATCCTTAAGAATTCTAGTAAGTACGGTCTACAGTTTCAAATCTAACAATAAAGTCCAATTAAATGTTTCAACTTGAATTAAAAGTCATTGTTGCCTACATTAGCTTCTCTTTGGTATCATCGGCAGTATCAGTGCTCAGATTTCGTTGAGCGATAGTCTCGATGAAAAATTAAAACAGACGAAAATCGAACTCGTGAAGCTCTATCTTCGACAGGACCCACCAGGTAAAACAAAAACGAACGAACAAATTGTCACTATTGAATATTCTCGGAGGAAAATGAAAATATCTTAAACACACGTAGCTCAAAGAAAAGTGTACGCAAAATGGGATCCGTCAGGAATCGGTCCTTCGTTGCTAATCCTCAACAAACAACGGCCTTTCATCATAAATGCATTCAACAAGATACTCTTGATAATGAAAGATCGGTTTATAATGTATATCGCTGAAGATTCTTCCTCTAATCGTACATCGTCGCAAGAGATAATTCTAAACGTTAATAATGGTCCGATTAAGTTCATCAGGGTACGAAACTGAAAATCTTGTTTGTTTAAAATTCGCATTCGATATCCAATTATTTCGAATAACGTATCACAGAGTATCGTTTGGAGAAACACGCTCTATCTACTCGTTTGTTACGAGATCGGAACGTGCGAAGTGTACACGGGAACGAATAATTTGCAATTAAAACAACGACAGACTATTCAATTCAAAGGATACCCCATGGATGCTAGTTTCTTCATTCGTGCTAATAGACTTTATCTCGTCGTGGCTGTTAACACTGGTCCATACTATGTACCTTCTTTGTAAGTAAAAATCACAGAAGTAAGCAATTTCTACAGTGGAAATGACGATTAAAATTTTAATAAAATTAACAGTTTTGCAACTGAGACGTGTAATTCCTTGTTATTTGTTATTAGAATTTACCACTGGAGAGGAACGTATATGAGTGTAATAGACGAACCGATGACCATCGGGGCGGTGTCGGTCACCACATTTGAATATAAGCAATCAACGATTATAGTTTTCGCGCAATATGGAATCGGTTCCATGGTATATAAATTTACAGAATCGATCCCTTTGCACAAGATACAGCTTCTGTCCACCTTCAATCCGATCGCGGTTTACCAATATAGTCACACAGGCGTTAATTTCATCTTACTGATAAACGAAATTGGACCGAGTAACTTGTTTTGGTGGGACGGTCAGTCTTCTACTTGCTCTGTCGTACTCATTTGTTTAAACATCTTCAGATTTAAAATTAAAATTCGTTTTTAGGACTTGAGTTTCTAAACTGGCAACAAGTGTCAGAAATACGAATGCCTAGTGTAGTGCACATTGCGAACATTGATGACGACACCTTGTTCTTTGTCGGCCACGGTGTAGGCATATTTTATCATTAAACAATGATCAATGAGCGCTTTAATAAATATTAATTAATATCGTAGGATATTTTGCAATTGTACAAATTTGAAAACGCATCGGATTGCGTTCTGATAAACACTATGCGATTACCTAATGGGAAGAGCTTGATCGACGTACAAACTCGAATCAATGAATCCACGATAATTATAGTATTTATCACCATCGACCCGGATCAAATCTATAGCGTGGAAAAATGGGAATTGATTATCGAAGAACTCCCTTCTGGTTAATTATTCTATTAAAAATAATACACTTGAAATTGAACATCGATGGAAAGAATTTAATTTTTTTTTTAGAGCATTCGTCCAAGGAAAACGATATTTTGTTAAAACAATTTGCAGAACTAGTCGAAACACTGCAACAAAGAAAACTCCTTATAGAACAAGCTGAAGCTTCGTGGCCGCATTTATTACCAGCGAATGAAAATTTAACGATATCGGAACCACTGGTCGTACCTAATTTGAAATTGGATTCAGGGATCGTGGAAAATATCGATATCGTCGTAGATGAAGATATAATAGCCCCTTCTGAACTTGAAAAACGTTTGGAGAAACTTATTTCAGAAGTAGATAACGTTTTGAGAACATCAGAGGAACTTTTAATTTCGACTAAAAATAATTCTTTCACTGGCAATGTTAACGTTACTGGTGACGCGTTCATTAAACAACTGGAGATTGATAAGATTTATGTAAATTATTTGAACGATATCGATATTCGTCCCGACAGCTTACTGAATTTAAATAAAACCCAACAACCATTAGCTGCATTGAAGGATAAGGACGTTATTGTGGAGAATCTCAAAGTAAATTCTATTTGTGGCATTCCGTTTAAATGTAAATTTCATGTTTTTAAATACAAAGATATTTTTGATAGTTATATAAAGAATATATCAATAATATGTATCTACATTTTTCCAGATTGGGCTGTAAAAAATGTTACATCAAAGATAGTGATAGATCCAGGAGAGAATAGAATTGAATTTTCTGATAACATTGTGCGCTTTAATACGAACGTATCATTAACAAATTTGAACATAAAAACGTTAAACGGTATAAATATGAACGAACTCTTTAACGACCTGTTCATTATCAATCGAAATCAGAAAATCAAAGGTAGGTCGAGCAAAATGTAATATGATACAAGTATCGAAAGTTGATAAAATTTTTCAGGGAACGTTACCTATGACAGTACATTACACGTAAGTGACCTTACGGTGAATACGTTGAATGGCAAACCGTGGGATAATTATATGAATAAAGTAACCAATCAGACATTTGACGAATTTCTCATAAAGAAGTTCCTAGTAGAAAATTTGCGCGCAGGTTCGGTAAATGATGTTCCAGTTTCAGAAGCGGCACGAATATCCACCGAAAACGTAATAAAAGGTACAGAAGCATGCACGGCTTGTACAAGCATGCATAATTGAAATTCAATCAATCTTCAAGACACTTGTACAATTTAAATACTTGCACTTTGTCGTATGATTGACGCATGCTTGTCAAACTTGAATTTACGTCTGTAAGCAGCTTAATGCGCGAAATGCATAAAATAATTTTGTTTATTTAAAAATATTCTTCACAGGACATGTGAACATTGCGAAGTTACACGTAAAAAATAAATTCGTAGTCGAATCAGACTTAAAACTATCCGACTATCCGTCGCATCAGTTATATTCCAACGTCGTTATACAGGGTAACATGAAAATAGGTACTCTTGATTTAGACAAATACTCAAAAATCTTTGCGAATGGTCAAGAGATAAGCTTGAAGAACGTTCCTGACAAATTCTGGACGAAATCGACTGACCAAGTGATCGATAACGATGTTGTATTCGAAAATAAATTAGTCATTGATCACTTGGAGACAAAATATTTGAATGGATCTCTCGATGAAGAATTTTTGTACACTACCGCGACGATTATACCGGAGAGTTTTAAGGACCTGCACTTCGAGAACGTTCACGTCGACGGTATGTTTTTCATTCCCGGAGGAGAAAACGATAGTTTCTACGATATCGCTCCGGAATCGGTAACCATCCGCGAGAGATTGCATCTAAAACACCTTCACGGAAACCACTTACTCAACAACGTATACAATGGCTTGTTTGTGGCCGATATTTTAAGTGGAAAGCAGCCGTATATCTTTCCGCATCACGCGAGTTTCTCCGCGATTCAAGCTGAGCAATTAAACGTAGACGAATTCAATTTTCTCTTTTTCAACGGCCAGGATAGGGTCAGTTTCTTTGAAAGCGCGAGGAATTGTAGCCAGAGCGATCATAAAAAGAAATTTATGAAAGCTTCACAGTTCGATGTGACAAATCTTCAAGTTGAGAAGCTCAATGATCTCGATATGAAAAAACTTGCATCGCTGAAGGATTTGGAACCGACCGGCCTAAAAAATTTGGTGATCCATGGTAATCTAACAGTGAATGTCGATTTAAAATTAGATCGGATCGACAATCAATCATCGGCGGCTTATTTGGAAAACATGGCTAAAGAAATTACCATATTTAATCACAAAACGATCAACGAACTAATTGTACAGAACGTGACACTACAGTCTTTGAACGGGCGCGAGCCGAATGAACTTTTCGATAGTTTCCTTTCAAAATCGAGAAAGCAAAATATAACTGGAAGATTTTCTTTTTATAACATAATTGCCGATAATGTTCAAACTGCATGTATCAATGGTCAGGACATCTCTAAACTTATGTGGATCGACGAGCCTTTATTTATAAATGGAAACGTTACATTCGAAGATTTATTCGTCGATGGTGATATTATAACGAATACTTTAAATAATCGTGGCATTAACGAGGTGAAACTTCAATTAAAAAATCTGATCTCTTGTTGTATTAGATTGGTGAACAATTAATTAAGTAATTAACAAATTATTTAATAGTTTGAATATATGAGTAACAGATAAATTATTTGAATGAAAATGTTTAATCAGAATTGCATTTCGACGTCTTCTATTCGTCGTCCATCTAAGACCGTATTTCGGCGGATCTATACAATATAATCGTCCAAACAATGTCATGAATTGGAAGCGTCGATTTATTCTTGAAAAGGACATTTTTATATGAGCCAATCTAATAGTTACATTGAAAATAATTCATTTTTATTAATACCGATTATATCTTATCAACACCTCATCTTATTTCAGTTATACGAGAATATGCGTAATGTGTCAGTGTCAGAAATCGCTGATTTAAGAGTGGATGGGAACGTGTTTTGGGACGTACCATCTACGAGTCGCGATTCCTTAACATATTTATTCGAGAACGCAGTAACTAACGCGACAAATCAAACTATTCAAGGAGAAGTAATCTTCCAAAATGATGTATCAGCATCGACGGTATTTGCACAGTGGAAAGGAATTGAAGATATCCGGGATATAATTTCAGATGCGGTGATCGATGACGGCGACGATATCGAAATAGTTGGAGAAAAGATATTTAAAAACGACATTCATATCGATACTCTGGCTGTAATCGATAATATTGATATTCGCACCGTTAACAATATCGATGTCCTCGCATTTAATCAATCCGTAGCAAGGAAAGATCGGAATGAAACAATAAAAGGACATATAACGTTCCTTAACGAAGTCGTTGTTAATCGAATTTTTGTCGACGATCGAGTTCATAATATTCCTTTAAAGGGAGTGGTTTTGGCAACAGATATACTACCTCCGCAAGTAGTTTTCAAAGATCTTGTCATACTGAAAGACGTGTATTTGAAAAACTTGAATGGTATAAATTTCGATGAATTTTTGAAAAATCGTATTACCATCGATGGAGACCACGATATTTTTGCTGATGTGCAATTTAGCAGTCCTGTTGAAATAATGGGTAAATTATGGTACAAATTATGCCTACAAATGTTTAGCCATAAGTATCAATAATTCGTGTTACTGTTCAATCACAGGAAATGCAAATGTTTCGCAAATTAATGGCATCCATTTATCTGATCTGGTCATAAATGGAACGACAGAGACGCAAATAATATCCGGCTCGAAAATCTTTGAAGAAGATACTGTAGTGTACGGCAATATTCATGCACCATTTATTAATAAGGTAAACATATCATCGGAATACGCCAATGGTGTACGAAACGACGAGGACGCAGAAATTTTTGGAGACTTGGTAAGATTCAAGATTATGTACTTTACTTAACACAATATAATATGTATATGTAAGTACATAAATATATAATAAGCGGCTCATTTTAGCTGTTCGAATCGAAAGTCAAAGTTACCGAAAACATAACAGTTTCCAATACAGTGAACAACATAAATTTGCATACGATTCTTCACGATCTGGAAGATGAAATGCATCGAACTCTCAAAGCGATCAAACAGAATGAGACCAAGATCGAGGAAAGCATAGCTCACTCCACACAGATCAAACAAAGTCTTAGAAATGTATTCTCGTACTTGGAACCGGAAGAAGAACTACAAATTCAAGCGCCTAATGTTAAGAAGGTCGATGTCGTCTATTATGAACAGATCACAAAGCTAAACATGTTTGGAGAAGAACCAGGTCCGCTTTGCGGGCTACCTGACAATTGCTCTTGCCCGACTGAGTTCGTAGTCGAGTTGACTGACAATGACTGTTACATACGAAAAATGAATAGCACAAATATAATTCGAAATTATCACGAACTGCATAGTACATTCGGTGTAAATGTGATATCAAATACGGTATCATACAGTCCTCTGTGTAGCCTAAACAATACCGAGGAGGAATTTACTAAAATTTCATGGATGAAGACTGAAACGATCAATACTGGAGATCACGTGGCAAACGTGAATGAAATATCGATGATTCGTGGCTTCATAAACGATGCAAACGTTTTCATAACACATCATGATACTCGTATGTGAAATGTTCTCTAATTCAACGCTTTGAGTCATAGTAGGAGTCATGGATTCCAGCTCTTTTAAGGATGTATTGGCTATACAGTCAATCCCAAAAGTTTATGTACCTTAGAAAAACGCATTTCCTATAATTAAAAAGAAATCAGACGTCGGAAGAATAATGCTAATAATAAATAGCTACGTGCTAAAAAGTATAGAAGGAAATATCCAATTAAGTATCGACGCTGACGAAAATTTTTTTTTTTTCAAAATTGCGAAAAATGCTTCAAATAAAAGTTGTTTTCCTTTGACAATTTTGACAATTGTAATCTAAAGTTTTTTGGGATCGCTGATTACAAATCTGATATTAGAATTGTTTTGGGGGTTTAATTTCATGAATCTGTCCGTAAAAATTTGTGACTCAAACAGTTAATAAGCTTGTTCAATTTACTTCGTTTTAAGTCTTATAATACAAATACGTGTATTTACTTTAGACGCAGCTTTTATAGTACTGGCAATGTACTATGATCCGTTGCTGAGAACGCATAATACAGGATCCTTGATTTATAAAATCGATTTGGAAAAAAATGTTCTGTCTTTGCATCAAAATCTATCAGCGGACGGTGCTTGGGCCGTTGAAGTTTTCGAAATGAACCATCGTGAAATGTATCTCATTCTAGGTTGTTTCGGCGAATCTCAAAAATCCTTTTTGTACAAATTAGATCCTCTCAACTCGTTGGTAAGCTTCGTAAAGTAAAAATACTCTTGAATACAGATAACAATTGTTTTACAGTTCACAGATGTGAGAAGTTTCGGGGGTAAGACGCGCAATGTAAAAAGTCTGCATCAAGAAAACGATCACTTTGTACTATTAGATGATTTTGATACGAACGCCATGAATATTTTTCATTACGATGAAAAGATTGATAATTTTTATGATTACCAAAGCATCTTTCATGATTCACGGATCAATGGAATTGAGTGCTTCTACGCGGATGGTATACACGATATTTTGATATTATGATAAAATAACGATAACGATTAATACTGATACATATTTATTTTTTATTGTAAATGTTAGAGTTTGGTCGAAGCGATTCTTTTGTCATCGTTACAACGGAGGACGATCAGTTTTACATTTATGAATATATGTTTGCAGAAGTAAGTTTCAACAATGTATAAAATGTTTTATAAAATAACGTTTCAGTTAATGATAAATTATGTTTTAAAAATCAGAAATTCCAACTAAGGGTACATCATCGAATGGACGACCTCCAAACAATGGTACCATTCCATCACATGGGGAACCATTATATTATTACGGGCACAAGCGCAAACACTACGGTACTACGAATCGTAAAACAAGGCCCTCATTAAAATCTTTCGATAATTTTAAATCACTAATTTTTTACGACTGTTAATATTCAATATTTATTTGTGCATGCGCAATAATACATTTATATGTATATGTATATTCTTATTTATTATATTATATATGTACATACATACATATACCTTACTCAAATCTGTATTTGCGGAATAAATTGTTAATACAATTACAGCATTTAATACACCATTATGTGATTTATTAATTCGAGGAAGCACTACGTTTAAACATTGTAATTAATTTTATTTAAGCAGCAAAGACTATTCATAGTATCGAAACGAATTGCGCCAGCGCAATTTTGATGGAAGTTAGTTTGTTCCAGCAAAAAGAAATACGATAAATAAGTCAGATGACATAGAAAGAATAGTATCTTACGTATTTTGTAGTAAATAGATACAAGACTAATTTAAATAGTATTCTTCAAGTTTTGTAACAAATTGTGTGTGATACGAAACGTTTAAAGCTTTCGCTTTTTCACAGAGTGGAAGCCATTGAAATATATACACACACTGAAGATTGAAGTTGCTCCATTGATTGTTACTGCGTGACACCACAGTTGAATTTTCAAGGTATATATTCGACAAACTAAATGCTTATTCATTTTTGTTCGCGAGAAAGTTGGGAACATCGTCACCAATCATCACATCGTCAAAATACTTGGGACTGTCAGTTTCAGTATATCGTTTCACTGTACCAACATACATAATAGTTGGACAACTTCTGAACAATTCGTAGTTTACACAAGACCACATGTAATTTGATTTATTTAATTCAATCACGGTGAACAAATGAGCTACTAATCTAAAATGAATCAGATGTGATCGACGATATTGGACGATATTTAAAGCGCCTTCTTTTATCCGGCATGTTTCTTTGGTTATGTTAATTCATCATGAATTGGCGTAACGAGAAAATTTAACGATCCGTTAACACGATAGTACTAATGATGCTATTTCAGCTGATAGTATTGAAACGATTACTTGTGCACATTCTTTTATCAAATCCTGTTATCTCCTCTTAGGAAAATTATGAATAAATGGAAATCAATTTTGAGGTTATGACACGTATCAGAAATTTTTTGTTATTGAATAGTAAAATCTTGACGTCTGTGTCATTATTACTATGTAACGTGTAAATGTTTTATAATTAATATTATTGTGTTAAACAGAACAGTTCCTTTGAGGCAGTGATGGCTGTCAAGGGGCTGGTTGCAGCAATTGTTCAGTTTTTAACTCAACAATTGGAGGAAGGAGATATTACAGATGAGTCAAGAGAGAGTCTCGAAGTAGCAATACAATGTTTAGAGAGTGCTTACAGTGTGCAAGCATCCAATGCACCAGCAAGTTTTAATTTATACGAGATGTACAAATCGGCTATAGAAAATACAAAGACTCAGTTACCTCCAGAAGCTACTCCAGAAGCCAAGGCTGAAGCTGAGAAATTAAAAAATGAAGGAAACGCTTTAATGAAAGCTGAAAAACATCATGAAGCTCTTGCCAATTATACAAAGTACATATATAGTGAATACAATCCTTGCATAAAAAAGGTATGAACATCTTTTGTATAGATAATAATGGAATATTGTTTGTTTAGGGCAATTTTATTAGATGGTCGCAACGCAGTATATTATTGTAACCGTGCTGCAGCATGTAGTAGAATTGGTAATCATCAACAAGCGATTAAAGATTGTCAGACAGCATTATCCATTGATCCTTCATACAGCAAAGCATATGGGAGATTAGGTTTAGCATATTCTAGTTTGAATAAACATAAAGAGGCTAAGGAAGCTTATCAGAAAGCCTTAGAAATGGAACCCGATAATGATAGTTACAAAAACAATTTACAAGTAGCAGAAGAAAAGTTGGCCCAGCCAAACATGAATAATATAGGACTGGGTGGAGGTGGATTGCCAGGCATGGATGTCAGTTCATTACTGTGCAATCCTGCTTTCATGAACATGGCACGCCAAATGTTGTCTAATCCAGATCTGCAAAATTTGGTTGGAAATTTTATGAGCGCGCAAGTAGAACAGGGAGGACATATGGATACTCTTATAGAAGCGTAAGTTATTAATGTTTTTATATACACTGTTACATGGCTGCATATTGTACTTTTATATTTTTCAGTGGTCAACACTTTGCGAGACAATTACAGACTGCCAATCCTGAGCTGATTGAAACTTTAAGAAGGCAAATGGGAGGAAATACCGAAGATCCAGATCCATCGCAAAAAAATTAATATAACTGATTACCATACTTTATAAAGATTCTACAAAAAATGGAAATAATTAAAATTATTTGAGACATATAATATAGTTATGGGACAGTGTCTATGATTTACTAATATATAAGTATACAGATAAAAATTGTAACAGATTAACTTGCATTATTACATCTTGACATGATATTCATATACATGTATTATAGTAACTTTCCTTCATTATTAAGCAAAACATGCCAGATTGTGTTTTGGATGTGTACTGACAATGTTTCATATGCAAACAATGCATAATGAATATCGAAGCATTGTGAATATTTTGTGAACCTAGAACATACGTTGCTTTCTATGTCACATAAGATGATTTTAAATATACTGTATCTTCAACTGGTTTGTACAATATATTTTTTTTGTTCTGAAAGAATTAATGTATGTACAAGGAAAAATTCCTTTTTTCTTAATATATTTTTCAATTTTATTCATAATAATTGAAAAATATTTTATTTTTAAGTTGATTATGAAAACGAAAAAGCTTAAAACAATAAAAAATACTAAATGTCTGTTGTCTGCTCATAAAATCCCTGTATTTTGTACATTAAAAATACTTTCATGTCGAACATAATACACAACTTATT